CAATTACATACCAACAGAATGCCACACTGTTGAAATAGTTTTTTCCACGAGAAATATAAATCTTTTACGTACGGTAGGCAAATGACACCAGTATATGATTCTAAGTCTAAACGGTTTTTATGGTCTGTGAGGTCTTTTTGTTTGTTAAAAATGTAACTGCGTCTGTTATTTATGACCGAGTTGATTATGTTCGGTCATAAATAACAGACGCAGTTACATTTTTAACAAACAAAAAGACCTCACAGACCATAAAAACCGTTTAGACTTAGAATCATATACTGGTGTCATTTGCCTACCGTACGTAAAAGATTTATATTTCTCGTGGAAAAAACTATTTCAACAGTGTGGCATTCTGTTGGTATGTAATTGTGATGCAACCCTTAGTTCAATTTTTACACAAATAAAATCTAAGTTCAATTTTGACCGCCTCAGGAATTTGGTATATCAAATTAATTGCTCTAATTGCGAACTCTTTTATATTGGAGAAACTAGCCAAAACCTGAGTAAACGCCTTAATCAACACAAAAATAATTCAAAAAATCCCAAGCAATTTAAAACAATGTTAACTGAGCATATTAAAAATTTAAATCATAATATCGATTTTTTTAACCCTAAAATTTTACATTTTGAAGAGAATACAATTAAAAGAAGATTCGCTGAGGGGTTGTTTTTACAATTACATAACGACAAAGTTATAAACAAACGCTTTGACAATACGGCCCTGAACGAAGCGAACACGTGGTTTCTTAATAGCGTGTCAAAATTCCTTAAAAAATAACAAAATCCCATCGCCTTTTAAATTTTCCAAAAAATATCAACACATGCTAAAAACTACTTTGAGAAAGTTGTGACATTTCTATCCTAAACTCCGAAGAGTAAATACATAGTTCCGACAACTTGTCAAGTTATCATGATTATTAGTGTGTTTTACCATTTGTGATGTTTGTGTTAAAAAATACATATCTTATCAATGTGCACATACTCATACCATGGATTAATAATGGTTTCATATGCTATATTAGGATACAAAATTGTAAGTGTTTTATTATTATTATTATTATTATTGTTTTTCCATGAAATTTCCTTTCATATAATTTATTTAGTTTCAATTTTTATAGTTAACTTGATTATCACTGAATGATGGCTAAGATGCTAGCCGAAACGTATGGATTTTAAATAAATAATTTTTTTAAAAAAACTCGTACTATTTTTATTGATGTTACGCCCGAATATTAAACTCAAATTAAACATATATATCAACATCAAATTCAAGACTATTCAAATATATATATATATATATATATATATATATATATATATATATACATAATATATAACATTTTAATATTATTTTCATGATACATATTCATTATATGCATAATACATAAATATATACGTACCTGATAATTAGATGCCGGAAAGATATGCATTTTTTATTATATTTGGAGTTATAACAATTTGGGACATTACACTTTACCATTTTAACTTAATAACAAATGAAAAAAGTATTCACCAAAATATAATTATATATGAACAATCACAGAAAAACAAATATAACACATCTCAACTACACTACGCGATGACAACTTATAGAAAATGGCCGATCAAATCAATGTAGATCAAGCTAGCTGCTAGATCAATGAAATTGGAAATCGTAGCGCCATCCTTCGATCTTTTCGAATACCAATTCATTTCAGAACAAGGTAATCTACATTTGTTCGGAGATTACCGGCCATTCCATAAGGTATTACTGCACGAGGTAGAAAGTGGGAGAGTTGGCGTTGAGCGGGCAAGCGGCAAGGATGTGTGATGAGTGTGTAGTAAGATGGAGGAAATAAATGTTATATACAAAGTTACCGGTGTTTTATTGAAGATGTAATGGACAACCTGACAATGAAAAAGAAGAGACTTATATATCTATATATTTATATATATATATATATATACTAGATGGCCCGACAGGCGTTGTCCTGTACCCATATAATTTAATATTCTATACTAATATTTACCGTTCAGTTAAAAATAATAATTATTGCTTTTTGAATTACTACTTACACAAATATATGAGTGATGTTAAATGTAGAACTGCTTCAAATGAAATTATGATTTTCAATTCCACAGGCAACACTTTAATTATCCCTTTAACAAATATTAAAATATGTTAAATAAAATTGTATATTAAAAATTATACACTGCAATTTATGAAACAAATTTATTTCCAATAGCTCAATTTATTTTAATGCTAAGGATTATCCAATATTTTTAGTCATACCTGTGTAGATGCAGGTGTATAAATGAATGATTTTTTGTTTATTCACGACTAAAACATTGATTTTCCGCATTTATCACACTAAAAATCATCATTTGCCTTTGTGATTTATAGCATAGGATATACGTATTGGAAATTGAAGTCTTTTAAAGGGTATAACAAATTCGAAAAGAATTATTATATAGCATTCGCGGTATAGGTACAATATCACCTTGAAATTTTCTACCCAAAATAATTGCTTCAATAATGTGGCCTATAATTTTTATAATTTTGTACCATATTTTAACTGGATTTTAGTAATTTTAATATCTAATTTACATTTTTCTCACTAATAATTCAATATACATTATTACTTAAGTTCATATTTGAAGTGAATTAATATGTCAAATCCTGTTCACATGTGGTCTATTCAACCTACGATCAACTAAATTATTGCAGTAAATTGAGAGGTAAAAAGCGTGTGCCCTGCGATTTTTTTACTGTATTCCAATTTGATTGATATTTTGGAAATAGGCTAATCTTAATCTTAATTCAGAAGTGAAAACAATTTGCACTCCTTTACCACCCTCGGCATTAATTAGATTATAACTCTTTTAATTCTGATTTTATCAGAACTTGTAACATGCTATTTTAAAGGTAATTAAATGACCTACAATTTTCTCTATCATAAATTTTACCGTAACTTCTCTTCTTTTGAAACGGCGAAGGATTAAAGGGCTCGAAAGACACTCTGGTTGGACAGCCGCGCACTCTTTAAACAATCATAACTCTATCAATATTTGTGCAACAAAATAATAATAAAAATCAATAATTAGTCAGAAAAAGACCTTGAATTTCAGTGATATAATAATAAGAAATTGGTTGTTTTCAATAGATTTTTTTCTAACTAAAGTTATGGTATTTTCTTGAATCCATCAAAATCTCTTAAACCAAGTTAATTCTAGACGAAATACGATTATTTTTAATTTTGGTAGAAATGGCGGTCATAAACTATTTGATTTAAATGAAAAAAAAAATGTATGTGTCTTTTATTTGCATGATAGCTCACTCATTTTACACGCAGAAGTACTTATTTTAAAGCTTATTTTGAGCACTATAAAACCCCATTTTCATATCTAGCTTAATATTGTACCTAGAACACTATAAAACAGCGATTTATTGAGATTTTGATTTATTTAATTTTGTTCATTTCATTTTTTTTCGTTGAAATGAATATTTCTGAAGATATTAACAAACAACACTTTTAATTTTTCTTTAACGTTTAGTTAAAAAATAATCTGTCAAATTGAATTTTAATTGATATAGGATATGTAGCTGCATCACCTGTCAGATGCATGTTGACTCTATCTTATTATATTATTTTAATTTTTGGCACATCTCAGCTACTTTTTGGCAATAGTAATGTAGACATTTTATTTTCCTTAATTATAATCATGTGTTTATTATATTTTAATATTGCCTTAGCCTATAAGTGAATGGAAATGTTTGGCAAATGACAGTCTTCGTTTGTTTTCAATGTCAAACTTTGCCTTAAATATTTTCAGGGCCAAACAATGATAATCGGTTGTTCGCGCCAGAACGACGTTAGATGGTATGAGCAGACGACATTGTCAGAATCAGATTATCTTTTATCCCGAAAGAAAAAGATTTTGGATATAATCGCTAACCTGGGGTTTGCTTGTCATGTACGTGGTTCAATTGTTTTTCCGTATGAGTTTTGTTGAATTATTCGAATGTTCAATGTTATTTGTGTGAATAAATACGTTATTAATTGCAGCCAGTATACCTTATTGTGCTTCTGGAGTCAATTCCTACCTCAGTATCCATTCCTTACTGCGATCTGAGAATTTCAGACGTCAAGCCACCACCCAACTTGCAAGCAGATAACATCTTGTATATCCTGAATATACTCAATTGTACAAAATCTTTGGAATAGCTATTGAATCAAATATAATAAGCTATTCCGAAAGGGTCTAACCAACCCCCATCCGTAACATTGGTCCTTCGACGCCGGATTCTAATTTTGATTAGGATTTATTGAGTATATTAAGGAAATGGAGAATGTGAACCAAACGTCATCTCCTTTCAACAATTGCGCGTATTTGGGATTTTTTTCATTTCTTGAGATTTGTTACTCTTATTGTTGTTAAGATAAAAATCTTAATAAAGAATATTTCAAAATTAAAGATTGATTGGGATGCAGCGCTACCATCATTTATTATGACTTCTTGGTTAGCCATATCTTCCGAATCAAAGTTGAATAACTATATCATGCCACATTATCTCAGAACTGCGGAACACAAAAATGTTCAGTACTTGGATTTACGGATAGCTCCGAACAAGCATGCGGAGCTGTAATTTACAATGATATTAATGATTCAATGATAGTCCGCCAATGGTTGGTAGAACTAACGACTCGTTGGGAAACGTTTGTAGCCAACATAATATCAAAAATTGACGACCTTTTTCATAATACACAATGGTTCCTTATTTCTACTGATAAAAAGGCAGCCATTGGTGTTTCCTAAGATCTTCTTCCTAAACTATATGTTAGATATAAGAATTGGTTGTTTGTGTCGAATTTTTGGAACGAGTTTATATCTACTTGGTCTTCTGGAAGGATTAATATATTCCGTGAGAAACAAAAAAAAAACTCTTTATTCCTTATTCCTTTTATTACATTTCGAAGAGTTTAAAATACATTTCAATTTTTTATTTTACGTAATTTTAGATGGAGACTCAATGATTGTGGCCTTGTTGAGCTCAAGACCTTTATGTTGGCTGAGTGGTGATCCAAGAGCCTCAGCTTCCTGCACCTTCATCAACTCTGTCGGATTCGCCTGCTCCATTGGATGCAAGAAAGATTAGAACTTTTCTAGGTGAAAAGAATTAAATGGCAATAAAAGGTAGCCCTTTTAGACTGGGGAATATGTTTGCGTCAGAACGACGTTAGATGGTGCGAGCAGACAACATTGTCAGAATCAGACAATCTTTTAGTCTCTGGCAATCCCGAAAGAAAAAGATTTTGGATATAAACGCTAATCTGGGGTTCGCTTGTCATGTACGTGGTTCAATTGTTTTTCCGTATGAGTTTTGTTGAATTTTCCAAGTGTTTGATATTATTTGTGTAAATAAATACGTTATTAATGCAGCCAGTGCACCTTATTGTGCTTCTGGAGTCAATTCCTACCTCAGTATCCATTCCTTACAGCGATCTGAGGATTCCAGACTTCAAGCCACCATCGGACTGGGCCGCCTTCCAAGCAAATAACATCTAGATATCCTGAATATACTCAATTGTACAAAATCCTCGGAATACCTATTGAATCAAATATAATAAGCTATTCCAAAAGGGTCTAACCAACCCCTATCCGTAACAGCGTTTTTTTGTAATTTTTTCCATTTATTTCTACAATATAATTATATTTGTATGAAAAAAATCTAGAAAATTCTCTGAACAAACTTCAAACAAAGTAAATTTGAATTATAAATATTGTTAGAGCTATCCACCCCTTTGTAATAATTATAAAGAATATTATAAATTCTATATAACAGTCAAATATAAACAACGCAGTTAGCATGACGCATAGCCTTGCTTACATTGTATGCAGAGATAAGACGCACGTGCAAGTCAGTTAACGGTTTGCAACCGCAATTGCGTCTCAAATAAATAAACTGATTCATATGTAACGAACATTTCTAGAAAATGATTACGTCATCTTGAGAAGGTTATAAAAGCTCTGAGATGATGAAATCGCTGTTCATTCTTGGTTCATTTTTCAATCACTCCACATCAGTCTCCACCTCAATATATTAAGTTGTAATCAAGTGTTACCGAATAATAAAGTAAATAGAGTTAATAAATATCTTCCAATGTTTATTTAAATATTTTCCACAGTGGTAAAGGCTTTAAATGTTAGCAGCAGAAGAACCCAAATTTAAATGTTGACATCGTTGGTGTGACGCAACTTAATGTTGGCAACGGCGAATCCACAACATTTAGTACCAGTGTTGGGATCTCAACATATTTGTTGTTAGCTCTGGGGTGCACAACAATATATAATTTTTATAAATTTAAATAGATTTTGACAGATATTTACTAAAAAAAATAAAACGCTAAAATGACTAATGTCAATATTAATGGAACATTTGAGAAAAAAAGATTTATGATTTTTGAGAAAAAAAAATTAGTAATTTGTGTAATTATTCTAAACTCAAAATTGAACTGGAGAGTTCACTTTAACAACAAAAAACAGCAGATTGATGAACTATTTAAAAAACATTACTGGCTGCTGAATAAACGATCCGAACTGTCGACAAACAACAAACTTATTATTTACAACTGTATTTTCAAACCGGTGTGGTCTTATGGGATTCAACTATGGGGCACCACCAATAAAACCAATATACAGATAATTCAGCGAGTGCAGAACAAGATCATATGGCAGGCACTGAACGCACCCAGGTACGTTCCCAACTGCTTGATTCGCCAGGACAGTATCATGATGACAGTAAATGAAGTAATTCAACAAAAAACAGATAACTATAAAAGAAGAATTGACGAACACCCAAATTACTTGGCACAAAAAGTATTCTCAGAAGCGCGCCCGAACAGACTAAAACAAAGAAATCCCAATGATCTCAAAAATAGCCATTTGTAAACGCTAACATTAATATTATTATTATTATTATTATCATTATCTTATTTCTAATATTGTTATTTTGTTATATTTTATTGTTTTTCTAGTATTATTTTATTATTCAGAAATTTTATTTATTTTATTTATTAATTTTATTTTTATTATTATTTGCTTTCATTTTATATTAAATCATCATACTACGGATATCATTTTAATGTAAATTATATCCTTTGTACTCTTATTTATTTAAATTTATATTATTATTATCATTATTGCTAGATGTTATATTATTTAACAGTTGTAATAAATATTGTAATTAAAAAAGTGTAATTAAAATCTAATATTATTATTAATATATCAGTTGAGATAATTGTTTAAAGTTGATTGTGCTTTAAAATAGGATTGAATTGTTATATAATAAGTATTGATGTAAGTATAATCACATAGTAGTGTACATGATATTAGACATGTCAGTATTTCATCATTAGAGTAATTGCAGTAAAATGCCGCCTAAGATATCGAGCGTTTAAAACTAAATATGTTAAAATTTATTTATTAAATAATAAAATTTAATTTAAACGTTTTGGCTAGCATCTTAGCCTTCATTCAGTAGCAATCAATTTAACTACAAAAATTAAAATTAAATAAGTAATATGTAAGAAATTTCATAGAAAAACAATAATAATAATATTAATAAAAATAATAATAATAATAATAATAATAATAATAATAATAATAATAATAATAATAATAATAATAATAATAATAATAATAATAATAATAATAATAATAATAATAAATAATAATAATAATAATAATAATAATAATAATAATAATAATAATAATAATAATAATAATAATAATAATAATAATAATAATAATAATAATAAAACACTTACAATTTTGTATCCTAATATAACATATGAAAACATTATTAATCCATGGTATATATTTTTTAACATCACAGGTGGTAAAATACACAAATAAACATGATAACTTAACAAGTTGTCAAAACTATGTATTTACTGTTAAGTGTTTAATATAGAAATGTCACATTTTTTCTTGAAACAGTTTTTATTTTCTTGAAACGCTATTAAGGAACCATGTGTTTGTTTTGTGCAGGGCCGTATAGTCAAAGCGATTGTTTATAACTGTCGTTATGCAATTGCAAAAACAACCCCTCGGCTAATCTTCTTTTAATTACGTTCTCTTTAAAATGTAAAACTTTTGGGTTGAAAAAATCTAAATTATGGTTTAAATTAATATGCTCAGTTAACATCGTCTTAAATTGCTTAGGATTTTTTGAGTTATTTTTATATTGATGACGGCGTTTACTCAGGTTTTGGCTAGTTTCTCCGATATAAAAAAGTTTGCAATTAAAGCAATTAATCTGATATACCAAGTTCCTGAGGCGGTCAGAATTAAACTTAGATTGAATTTGTGTAACTAGTTGGTTTTGGTATTTTGCCTTGAGCAAGTTACATGAACTTCCCGATAATAATCAACTTAATCAATAAAATATAAATTATTTTTTGAGTGGTTTTATCACACATAATTAAACACGAACGATCACGTTAACTCGGAGTATTTTCTAAAAGCAAATTTTCAAAAATCAACTATTTTTGTAATTGAACCAGTTTCCGTAGGACTTTAATGGTTCACTAAGTATCCAGTACCCTATCGTTATACCAAGTAAATCGTTACTTTTAATTTTAGCAAACGTCAAAAAAACTACTCATTTTCTCAAACTTTGATGAATTTTTAAAATTAAACTACTTGTCGTAAGACCGTAATAATTCAGTAAGTTTTATAATATCATGATATATATCGCCAAAAAAGTTCCATAAAAGTTGGTTTAAATTTTTTTTCAACAGTTAATTGCAAGAAAACGGCTCGGTAGATTTTGATCTAAAACTATTCAGTATCACTCCCAGCTAATATCTTTCGAACAGTTTTTGATTTTTCAACATCGATTCGGTAGTATGAGCCTAAATGTGGACGAAAAGTTTAACACTTTTTATCATATGACAAAGAAACGGCTTGGCAGATCACCGCACAAAACTGACAAACGATAGTCCTCACTGAGATATATCAAATGGCATCAAAATTTCTGAAATCGGTTCAGGCGTTTTTGAGTAAACGTCGATGAAAGGTCTAATTTTGACAAATGACAAAAAACGATATCAATTTTGCAAGCTTTGAAAAATTTTATAATTTAAACGGCTTATCGTAGTGCCGTAATATTTTAGTATGGGCTACAAGGCTATGGTATCTACCGTTAAAAAAAATCAAAAAAATCGTCGAAAATTTTTTTTAACACTTTATTACAAGAAAACGGCTCAGCCGATCTTTACCAAAAACTAATTAGCACGATTCCCAACCAATATCTTTCGAACAGTTTTTGAATTTTCAAAATCGATTGGAAATTGCGGGCTAAAACGTGGACGAATTTTTTTTTACTTTTCTGCGATTTACAAAGAAACGACTTGGCTGATCGTCGCGCAAATTTGATAAACTCTAGTGGCTTTTAAATTTTTCAAATCGGTCCAGCCGTTTTTGAAAAAACGTCGATTCACGGCAAAAAATCTCGCACACACACATACTTTTTCCAAATTTGGTCTTATTCGATTCCGAATGGCTTGAATCGTCGAGAAAACATAAAATTAGCAAATCGGATTTTTTTATAAAAACATAAACTTTTCCTTTGGGAAGTTGAAAATTGAACTAAGGGTTGTATCGCAATTACCGCAATTCTGGTACCATTTTCTAAAATTCTAAATTTTAGATAAATTTCTAAAAAAAACTCTCATACTATTTTTATTGATGTGACGCCCGACTTTTTAACTCATGTATAAATTAAACATATTACATCAACATCAAATTTAATACTATTCAAAAATATCACTCCTGGGCTGAAAAAAGGATTATTGACTTAATACACAAGTTATTATATAATTTTCTTAAAAACCTACAATACACTCTACGAATCATGGATCCACATCCTCACATCAAACCATTAGTCCCCCAAGTATACAGGAACAGACAAGTGACCTTCAATATACGTGATGACCAATCGTTTTATGAACTTATCAGACGCAACTACGGGGTCCATATACTCTCACAATTTAAAACAGTTTCTAAATTAAATTCCAAGATTATTGTAAATACTAATAAATATGTGTTCTTATTAAGATGTCGAAAAGAAAAATTAATACCAAACTTTTACAAAATCAATGTAAAAAACCTACTTCTAATAAGTCAGAAGACAATACAGTAGAAAATCTTAGCTTAAAATTTATTTTTTTAACCATGGAAAGTTGCATTAAAAATATACATAACTTCAATAATACCATCACAAAAATTATCAATTAGTAGTTTCGAACAGTTGAGTCCGAAATTGTTAACGATTTTCTCCACTTCGAAAATATTAAAGACAATAAACATTCCATAAACCTAAAACAATCTTACAAACATAAATTTAACAAATTATAACAAAATAAAATAGAATATAGTAAACTTTAGATGAAAACGTCATCAGTAAATAGCTAAAATACTTTTCATTCATTGAGATCACAGATTGACTTCGATATATTTTTGCATTAGGCCCAAATTTTGCCGTTTCCAATTTTCC